TTGGGATACCTGAATATAAAAAAAAAAAAAAAAAATTCAAACCCCAATAATCTTCAATATCCACGCACTCCACCGCACTTTAATTCCTACCTTTTTTTACAATACCTCAAATCCCACAAAAGCCAGAACATAATCCTTAATTTCCCTGTTAACAATCGATGAAAGAATCCAACTTTTCTGCAACAATTCTTTCGGCATTCTAAGGCTGGGAACTCCTCCCTATGAGTGGCGGTCCGAGTCCCTCCATGGTGGGATCACTTTCAATGGCTCTATTAAATCCGCCACAAGCTTCCCCTAAGTCATCCTCACGGCCATCGCATTCAACAAAACCCTATGGGCAGAGATTGCTTCGGGAACATTAAAAATAGAGTATGACCATATAACAAAAAAAATAATTAACATATTATTAATATACCTGCAACAGCCACAAATAATCTGCAGCTCTCGAGGACAATGCAATTTACACCCTACGCGTTCGATTGAGCCTTTGAATCTTCAATCTACCACAATAAAGGAATTGGAAAGGCAGGTCAACCACGTTTTCTACTTAGGCTATGTTTGGTTACATTTATTTTTCATGGAAAATATTTAGTTTTTTCCTCCAAATTTTTACTTGAGGTGTTTGATTATTATTTTTTCTATGGAAAATATTTTCTAACTTTTAAAAATATGCCTAATTTTCTTTGTTTTTAAGGAAAACATTTTCCTTGAGTAGAGGTGATTTTTATTTTCCACAAAAGAAGGAAAACATTTTCATTTCTAGGTGATATTTTCCATACCAATCAAACGCACTCTTATTGTTTTTTGCTTGAAAACACTCAAAACGTCAAAATGACGTTTTTGAGTTATCAATACATTTTTTTTTTCAAAAATTCATTTTCGAAAATGAGAAAGAGAACGCGTTTTTATTGTTTTAAAAAATCGAAAACAAAAAACAACATGAAAACAACAAAAGAGCGGCCCCTAAGTTTCTCCACCATTTCCAACACAAACCCCCATCATTATAGGAAAAATTAGGGATGACAATTTGAACCGTCAAAATCGAAAATCGTGGTTAACCGAACCGAATGGGGCAAAAAAAAACCAAACCGATGGTGCAATGGGGTTGATATGGTTTTTATTTTAATGAAACGGTTCGTGACGGTGCAGATATGGTATTTACGCCGTCGAACCGAAACCGAACCGATTACCTACTAAAAAAAACTGTATTGATTATTGAGTTTTACACTACTTTTCTATCTAGCCCAAAACAAAATCCCCCCCCCCCCCCGGTTACATCTACATGACTCAGTCGGCTAACTCACTTACCATTAGCCCATAATAATAGCATTAGTATGACAGTATGTAAATACAAACCCTACTCTTCACAAACTACAAACTCACGCACAGCTTCTTTTATTGTTAATTTTTTCTATTGTGCATAGAAAATTCTACTTCTTCATCATACTCTAGAGCCTGTGCAACGTTTAGCGAAAAGGAAGTTGACGAAGAGGTACATTTTTTAAAATTTAAATCTTGGTTAAGACAAGACCATTCTGGAATAGGTAGTATCGTTGTATTCTCTACTTACATTTCTTATTTACTATATAGGAATCAACTTTGAGTGTTGATCTATACTAGAAAGACTTGTGGGGAAGAATGAATCAAGTAACTTCGATACACAACAATTAAGAATGAAGGAAAAGTTTAGTATTGTTATATTTATAATATTGTTTGTTAAATTTGTATTTTACAATTGAAAATTGGGATAATGTTTGTATTTTCATTTGGAATATTGTGTTTTTGTTTTCATTGACTTTTTTCATAAATTGTTTTATATTAATTTGACGGATGAACATATAAGAAATAATTTATTTTCGTGGTTATTAACCAAATTGAACCGTACCGACTGAAATACAAACCAAGCTGAACTGAACCGATTTGCGTGGTTATGGTGCGGTTATGGTATGGTCAAAAAATTGGTGGTGCGATTATAGTTTTGCCCGAACCGACTCATAACCGAACTGTTGCCAACCCTAGGAAAAATGATGTCCTAAACTTTAACATACCCTATAATTTTTAGTTTTTAAACAACTCATAAAGAACATGAAAAATAAAAATATTTTGACTTACAAATTTTCCACATAAAAAGTAAAAACCCTCCATTCACGTCCAAAACAAATACAAGAAAGGTGGACAAAAACCATTACTCCTAGACATCCAGTTCAATTGTATTTCTACCCCTCCAATCAAATGGAGATACACCAGTATGCGTAAATTTAGCTATTGATTGGTCCAGTTTAAGTCCCCGTTTGAGCCCCATTATTTCTCATTACATTAAACTAAAATTCTCTCTCTTACTTTTAATCACACAATTTTCAATAAAATAATATTACATGTAAATCAAAAATTTTTTAACCACTTATTTTTCAAAAAAAATACTATTCATCTCATTATAATCTACAAATAATGGGGTTCAAACGGCCCCTAAAAGTCATTTTATATTATTCCTTTTCTAATATTTATATATATAATTTTTTTTTTTTTACCCCCTTTATCCTGCTTTTGCTTTGGTAACTTTTACCATTCTCAAAAAGAAATTGAAGTCCTTGTACTTTTTGTCACTTTAGAGGCAAGATCCCAATAATTTCCACATCAATGAAAACGAGCCAAAAACTTTGTCATCTCTTCTACAGCTCTTGTTCATTAAAAAAAAAGAAAAAAAAAAAAAAAAAAAAAAGAACTTGACCAGTCCACTATCCAGTTATAGTGAAATCTAGTCGTAAATCTTATAGAGAACTTTAAATAGTCCATGTGGTAGAATTTTCACTATCCTTGCTAGGTGTCATTATACCTGGCCACTATCCATGGGGTTTTGTAGCATTATAGTTGATGTCAAACCTTTGTTGCGCTCGACCATTCTAGTACCTTGCTACGAAATCAGTTGCACTCAATTTTGATGGGACTTGCCTTAGAGCTTAGTGGATCTACAGGTCGTGGTTTACCTAGAAATTTTCTAGAATAGTATTATTCATAAAATGGCTTTTAACCGAGCTCAACTAAGATTTCTAGACATTGTCTTCCTATTCATGGCTGTCGTGATGGGAGGGCAAGGTTACCTCACGGCCTCTCTCTTGACCTTGTCAGTATATCTAGAAAATCGCCTTCCCCCTATTTCAATTAAATATTAGATAATGTTACTTGTATATAATAGAATTACATAATAGTTTACATATAGATGGAGCGTCAAAAAGAGAGTGGTGATTTTATTTTTATTTTTTTTTCCGTTGAAAAAATTCTAATCCAATCATATCTACCACGTCATGTTTATGTAAATTATTATGGACAAGAACTACAACAGCAAATATTAGCCCCAGTTTGACTCTCTTTATTTTAAAATTTTTTTTTTCATTCTCATTTTTAACTATACATTATTATTTTATACGTAAATTCAAAAATTTTCTCTACTTTTTATTTTATTCTCCAAAAAATTACTATTCAAAACATCATTTTTTCAACAGTTTCTCTTTATAATGGCTATCAAACATGGGCTTATTGTAATAAGCCAATGCCCTTGCATATGCTGATATTTTCCTTTTTTCTCACTCGAACAATCAGGGAGGAGATTTTTGGTCAAACAGTGATGAACGATGGATTTACTCCGGCAATCGCTTACCACAGTGGGAAATGCAAGTCTCATAATTCAAAAGAAGAAGCTCACGTGAAAACATTAAAAGGAACACAATTTTCCTGCTTGCTGCCATTTTCACCAGTTTCAAATAACTGTGCCCGCAAACATATCTGGACTGTTTAGCTCAGACGTGTCCGATTGCTTTCAATGTTCAGAAGAACAGACGTACAAGAAATTATTGTTCATCGTATTGGTAACTTTATTGTACAAGACTTGTAACTTCCAATTGAGTTCACCTTACAAAATCAGTACCAGCTCCAAGTTATTCCATTTCAAGAACTGGGCTCAACAAGAGGTTCATAAATACGACAATCTGTGCATGCCAACTGTTTTGTGGCAGCAGATAGCAACTCTTCGAAGCTGACATTTGTTAAAATGAGTCAGAACAGATTGAATCATTCATTCCACAGTACAACATCCAAAAATCCCGAAAAACAAAAAATAAAGTAAAAGTAACTCGAGTTTAAAATTGAATTCGAAAGAGAATATGCAGAAAGATGCAAACTGAAACGACAAAATTTTACTGCAGCTGAGCTGTTTAAATCTCTCTGTCTATGTTCAGAAAGGAAGATATAAACACAGGAAACAAAACTAGGAAGAGAGAGTGGTATAATAAATTATAATTTATAACATCAATCATAATTTGAATAAGGACGTGACAGCATGTAAGCTAAGTGGCTCTGTCAAACAACCTTATCTCACTGAAGAGGATGAGCAGATGAACATATAATGAATAGAGTTTACTTTACAAGGGAATCTCAGTTCATTAGATTAAGAAAACAGTAGGTGGTCAATCATAGATTTCTTAGAACACTAAGGACATGTCAGATAAGTGGAAAGAAGCTAAAAAAATTTCAGCTATCCAGTTAAGTCATATCAATTACTGTATGCCAAACATGTCTTAACAACACTGAATCATGAAAGAAGTGTGCATGATGAAGTTGAGTGTGTTGGAATGTTTGTAATTTCCCCTAGATCAAATAAGACAAATACAAAGACCAGAAAATATGAATTTATGACAGCACTTTTGTCATTCATGAGTTACAATACATAATAATTTAGTCATCCATTATGCCAAACATCAAGTTTAAAATTTTGTCTCTGTTCACACTGAGCTTGGGGATCAAACAGAAGGTAACAATCTTTGCAATTTAACAAAATCGGAGAAACATGCTCGATCGGATTAAATAGACAATTCTCTACTGAAAAGAATTGAACAACGACATTCTACTTCAGTGTTGAAAATATTTACAATTTTTTACATAAGGGAAATCAAGGATGCACAAACACTCTACTCAGTATCCGAACAGGCACTTTTCAAAGTAAAGCAGAGTGAAACAAACTTTATTTCAATGAAAAAACCAAGATACAAATCAAACAGAGCACTTAACTCTCAGAAATGAGGTAACAACCATAGAAAAACCATTAAACTAGCGGCATTTTCAAGTAAATCTGAACAAATTTGCCTACCAAGATTTTCTTTGCTCAAAAATTAAAACAACTGCATTTTCGGTTATTCATCAGCTCTTAAAGAACACACGGATCTATATCGAGAATGCACCAGCAGTGCATCACAATTTACACTTGAGCTAATCTGTCTTTGACTGAACAGATGACAAATAACACACAGGCTATTCAATTGAATGCATTCTACACAACGTTAGATAACATCTCGTTTGGACGTCAAATAGCAAGAAGTCCAAAGAATTCTTCAACACTACATCGGCTTGGATCAGCAGCATAGAAACAGAACTTGATCCTGCAATTTTTTAATATTTTCTATAGAACGGCTTTGAATTCTCTCCAACTGAGTCATTTCTCTTTATGCAAGACACACGACCTTTATTATACCCAAGAACCTTAGACGGATTACTTTGGCCAATAGACCTCCCACTTTGAAATCTTAAACTTGGAGCTCGTTTGCCATAGTCCGGTTTAGGTTCTATCCCACCATTCTCACCATGAAACTCAGACTCCCCATCAGGGCCAGACATTAAGTCCAACAAATTGCTCCTAAATCCCAAGTCAGAGTACACTCTCCCCGAGTTCCTCAATGGTCGTCCAACTTTGGGATCCCCACCATCCATATTCCGATCTCCAGCCCCATTTCCCTTTGAAATCACCTGGACACTTCTTGACTCCACTGGTCTTCCCACAGTATCAACCATCAAACAAGGATTAGCAAAACCGTTCCACGAGCGGATTGGAACCAGCTTACTCAACCCACTTAGACACTCTACCACCTCCTTCATTGTAGGCCTCCTCTCCCTACAAGATCTCACACATTTTGCAGCTACCACTGCCAACTGCTTCCTCACAGAAGCATCCTTGGGTGGTTCAATCCTGGGATCATAAATGGACAACAATTTTCCTCTCCTAATTAATGGAATAGCCCAATCAATGATGGAAGGCGGCGAGTGCCCCATATCAATAGCTTTTCTCCCACTAATTATCTCCAAAAGCAATATTCCAAAACTAAACACATCAGTTTTAGTACTCAAATTATCAGGGGTCACATAACAAGGATCCAAATAACCCATTGTCCCTGCTGGGGGAGTTGATCTTAACCTATAATCATCCACACACCTCAAAGCTAGACCGAAATCCCCCAACCTTGCATTAAAATTCCGGTCTATCAACACATTGGCCGACTTGATATCACGATGAATTACTGGAGGACTTGAAGAATGGAGGGTATCAACGGCTTTCGCAGTTTGTAAAGCCAATTTTATCCTTCTTCCCCAAGTGAGAGGCCGGGAACTCGAATGCAAAACATCAAAAAGTGTCCCGTTTCTCATGAACTCGACGACTAAGAGGTGATCTAGGGAATCATTCTTACTGAATCCAACAAGATTAACTAGTCTTGGGCTCTGCAGCTTTGACAAAATATCGATTTCATTCTCTACTTCATTTGGGTTATCTGTCACCGACATTTGTGCAGCTCTTGAGGGCTTCTTGATGGCCACAAGACGGCCTTGAAGAACTCCTTTGTAAACAAGACCATGACTGCCCCTGCCCAATAGCTTTTGGTCGGAAAAATTGTTAGTGGCTGCTTGAAGATCATTGTAGTTAAATTCCTGGATTTTTATGGGCTTTTCCTTTTCTTTCTCAGAATAGTAATGGGATTTCTTGGAGAAGGTTGAAGGTGTAGTCTTGGAATTGACAGTTGAGATAGCAGATTCTGCTTTACAAGAAAGATAACCCATCAAGATTATTATGAATCCTCTGTATCGAATGAAATGAATGAATTTATATCCGTGTTCGTCGGTTTAAACTACATTTGGATCATGAATTTGCAAGAGAATTGGAGTTTGGAGAATGGCGATTGTTGTGGATGGTATGGAACTTCCACGAAAAGTACACTGAGGAAAGGAAGAGGTGAGGTTTACTGGAATTGGAATCCGAAGATTTTCGGTTTGCCAGCATTTAACTCAAGCACTAGCTGGTCATTGCATAAGACAATTGTAATTTGTAAAAGTCCAATGTCTTTTTCATTTTTAAATAAATAAATTATATTACCATTTGATTTAAAAGTCCAATAAAAGTGATAATTGTACTTTATGTTATTTTATTTTTTCACATATTTGACTTTATAAAGAAGCAACGGTCGGTAGGAAATGAAATTATTCTCTTATTTGATTTTGATTTTGATTTTTCTAGAAGTAATTTTTCATCTCTATTTTGTAAGAATTAAAATTAGATTTTCAATAAATTTTAATAAAAGTTGATGAAATATGTAATTGAAAAATTGTGAATTCCATAAAATATATGATTAAAATTGATTATTGATTTTAACTTATATTAAAATCTAGATTTTAATTCCTGCCAGACAAGATTATCCTTCCTTTTATTTTCAACTTTAGCCCCTTGTAAAAAGTAAGCTTAGACAAACGAGTTAGTCTACACATACAGGACATTTTTGTACAGAATTGATACAGAATACACAAATGCAGGGGTGGATGAATTATTTTTTACAATATTTTAATCCATCCCATCGGAGGATCTGTAAGGTTTCTGTATTTTTCAGTATAATCAATATTTTCCTAGACAAAAATAGTTCCTCTATTATGAGTGAGGGAAACTAACTATTTGATGTGCGTCTTTTTAGGTTTGGAATATTTTCATAAAGTTGACTAATTTCGAAATTCGATGCCCATTTTTCCAGTCAAAACTACTTTACAGTGAGTTTTTATCCTTCTTTTCACTGTTTTGAGCCCTGATTTGGGCAAAAGTTGAGACAATTTGTCAATAAAAGGCCATTAAGAAAGCTTCTGTTTGTTGATTTTTTCCAACGTTGAAAAATGGACAAATTAAAATTGTAAATAAATAAAAAAATTGTTCTTTGAGTACAAATGTAAAAAAATACTGTAGAGTGCGATGACTTTGTGATTCGTCTGCATTACAATTTATATACACATGACAATATATTTAGTTAATTTTCTTATCGAAAGACGTACAAAACACAAAATTGTGCTCAATTTTGTGTCAAGTTAGATAAGTTGTTCGTTTATTTGAATTAAAAATAAATAATTTTGTAAAAGGAAATTGATATATAAAAAGAATTTTGCTTACCCCTATAAATGAACTGATGAATCCAAACTTTTTGACTAAGGGAATTCATTATGAACATCAAGAATTCCTGTAATAATTGATTGGCAAATAACTTAAAATAATATGTTAGTTAAAATTGTCCTTCATCTAATATTCTTTTTATATTATCAATAATAAACAATAAAATATCAAATATTTCCAAATTATTCGATTTATTTTTATTTTTATTTTTATTTTACATCTAACCCTAAAAATTTTCGACGTGAACAACTTTCTCATTGTCTCTCTCAATTCACGTAATCAAATTGAAAGTGAGCTTTGCTTCATTGTTTCTATCTACTCATAGGCCCTAGCAAATTGATTTTGAGTTGAAACAACTATTAAATTGTCGAAAATCTACTTATTATATTACTAGCCTACAATATTAATTCCGACAAAAATTTTGTAGCTGGTCACTGACTTTGATAATGGAAGACTCTTGCATTAGATTACAGGAAATTGCTATTTGTACCTTTTCCTCTACCTGCTGGATGACACGATGACATGAAAATGTGGTTATTTTAAATTTTTTAAAACAAGAAAAACCTTGGCATATGAATTATTGGGCCGTGTTTTACAAATACAATAACGGTCGGGCAACAAAACCTTTTATGAGAAGGGACGGGTTATTCAAAAATCATCAGTATATTGCCCGCGAAGAAAATGCGCCCAAATTTGGAAACCTACCGCCCAACTTAGACGTAGTCGTTTCCGATTTGAAGGCTTCGCCGGTGAGAGAAAGAGCAGTTTCAACTTGCAACTGGTGACGTCGTCTTCATTGTTTTCGGCTTGAAGGTTTCGCCAATGAGAGACCTTGTTGTTCCAGGTTCAAGCTATTGCAATCTTCACTGATTTGAATAAATGACAGACAGAGGTAGAGAAAGTTTATTTCAGATTTTAATTGTATTTTTCACTCTTTTGCCAAACAACTTAGGAAGTTTTTAAAGAAGTTTCAGTAACCTGTTAATTTTTTGCTCTTTCACACATGTTATAATAGTTTTTTTTTTGTTTTTTTATTATTTTTGTAATATGTTATTTGTCTTACTCTGTCACAAAACTTGGGGATAGCTTAAATATTTTGAGATCACACATTTATTGTCTGTTCTTTTAAGCTTGTTCACAAATATGGGGAAAGAGAGAATTAAACCAAAAAAAAAAAAAACATGCATCTGAATTGAAAAAAAAAAAAAAAAAAAAAAAGAAGAATGCTGATTTCAATTCAATGTTTGATTTGTGAATTAGTTGTAACCTTGTAATTGGTTTTTTTTACTGTAAGCAACGAAAAATCAGAAGAGGTTGATGACGTCATTCTATTAGAAGACCAAAATGACAACAATTTGGACACTGTCAACTTGGTGGATGATGGAATTGTAGGATTAGACGATGTGATTGTGCCCGAGGTTGGAATGAAGTTCAACGACAAAAAAGAAATGTATAATTTTTACAAGAAATATGTGTACGACGTAGGATTTCCAGTTAGGAAAAGAAACTCGCAAAAGGATGATGATAGAGTAGTTAGATATGTGGTGTTTATATGTAGCTGTGAAGGCTGAAGAAGTAGTACTATAAGTGGTTCCTTAAGCCGCAAGCTACCATTTAAACAGGCTGCAAAGCCAGGATCGTCTGCAGATGTATGTAGAATATGGAAAATTAACATAGTGAATCTCATTTACAATCATAAAACAAGTCCATCGAAATCTAGGTTATATCGTTACAACCGAGAATTGAGTGCCCACGACTTGAAGGGAATGATATGGCAGAGATTCCATTGCACAAAAGTTACAACTCTACAGTCGCAGAAGCAGGGGGTATGAGAATATGACTTGCATAGAAAAGATTGTCGAAACTATGTTGAGCAAGTGAGATGATTAAAACTTGGAGAAGGAGATGCCGCAGCAATACAAGCATATTTTTCGAACATGCAAGAAGATGTCCATGTTTTTTCTTTAGTATAGATTTAGACGACGAGTTGCGATTGAAAAATATTTTCTGGACAGATAATAGAAGTAGGGAAGCATATAAGGAGTTCGGTGAAGTTGTAACATTTGACGCCACATACTTAACTAATAAGTATGATATGTCATTTGCTCCTTTTGTTGGAGTTAATCATCATGCACAATCAATACTCCTTGGTTGTGGGTTGGTGTCGAACGAAAATACGGAAACATTTGTGTGGTTTTGGGATTAGTACCGATCAAGACAGGGCCATGTAGAATGCAATTCAGATCGTGTTCCCGAACATGAAACACAGATAGTGTTTATGGCACATATTGAAGAAGTTGCCAGAGAAATTTGGATACCAAGTCGATAAGGGCAAGATCTTTTCTACTATACACTTACTGGTATATAATTCTCAAACTGTTGACGCATTTGAAAAAGGCTGGACAGATATGGTAGACAAATATTCCTTACATGATAACGACTGGTTGTTGGGAATGTATGAGAATAGAGGCCGTTGGGTACCTTGCTTTTTAAAAAGTTGCTTTTGGGCGAGAATGTCAACCACTCAGCGTAGTGCGAGTATCAATGTATTCTTCGATGGTTATGTGCACTCGAAGACGTCGCTGAAACAATTTATCGAACAATACAAAAGAGCATTGCGGACTAAGGTAGAGAAAGAGTTCCAAGCAGATTTTAAATCATACTTCCAAATGGTACCATGTGCGACGAAGTACGAGTTGGAGAAACAGTTTCAACAAGTGTACACCATTTCAAAATTTCGGGAAGTTCAGGACGAATTCATTGGGAAGGTTTATTATAACCTCATTTCTTCAGCGGAGGGCTTCTCGGGGACAACCTATGAGTTGTTAGAGGATATCATACTTGACGATCGAGTTAAGAAACAGAAGTTTTTTGTGAAGTTTGAAAGATAGAAATGTGACATTGTTTGCAGTTGCCACTTATTCGAATTTCGATGAATAGTTTGCAGACATGCTATCTCTGTACTTATCCAGAATAATGTCTTGACATTGCCGGACACCTATTTATTACGAAGATGGAAAAGAGATATTAGTAGAGCCAACATCAAGGTCAAAGTGAACTATGATGGTTTGAGTAGCACCCCTGCCCAGTTGAGATATGACAAGATGTATCAATCATTTGCTTCACTTGCGGACATGGCTATAAATGAATATCATCAAACCTGTGAGGTACTAGAGTGGATAGAATCCAAAAAGGACACATTTAAGACGAGGAGGTCAAGTTGTGGAAGTAATAATGTGTCCCAGCATGCATTTCAGTTAGCGTTGGATGGTGGAGCGTCACAACATAGCGGCAGTTTAACTATGCAAGATCCAAAATGCTCGAAGAGAAAATGTGCGCCAAATAAACTTCGGAACAAATGTCCTTTGGAATCATCATCCAGTAAAGCGAAGGCATGTTTTCCGTTTTTTTGTTATGGTCGCAGTGAAATATATGTGTTTATTATTTGTTGATTATGCAGTCACATCCAGCCAAAGGAAGGAAACGAAAGGTAAGCCCAAGTAAACTGGGAGAGGTTGAACCGATCGTACAAGCACATCATCAAGTGGTGAATGAACACATGCTGACACCAATCTCATATACACAGCTTCTAATGGTTCGTTTAATTCGATTGATAAATGCATTTGATTTCCATGTTTTAGTTACATTTTGATATTATGCAGGGTGATGGCAACAATGAGGTAGCACCGCAACAAGGAATTCTCTAATGAGCTTCCCATCGGCTTCAATGAGTTTTATATTCAATGATGAAGGTATACGGTTAAACATACGTAATTTATTTAAAGTCATACTCTAGTTTGTGTAATAAATTTTCTATTCCACAGTGGGGAATGCAATTCCGTACTACTATCCAAATGTATCTCACCAACGTAACACAAACATCTGATTTTGGTTGGACAAAATTGATGCAATAATATTCTCATGGTAATAGTTTGTAGACATTAGTTGATAGTACTTCATGTTTTACCATTAGTTAATTGTGACAATGGAAACAGCTTGTAGCTCTCCTTCCTTATATATGTAACAGCAATAACGTTAGTTTCTATGTATCAATTTAGTATATGAAATACAAGCAGGTGTATTAAATTACTGGTGTGTTCAGTTACTTGTAGCTCAACTTGTATCAATTACTGGTGTATTCAATTACCATCAATACAAGCAGGTTGGGAAACTGGAAACAACAATATTTTTTCAATCACAATAACATTACTGAGATAGTAGTGAATGACAATTATAGATTCTTCCCAAATACAAAAGCCCAGAACACAAATTGGTTGGATATTACAGATTCCACCCTCAAACCAACATCCTCAGCATACACTACAGTCACCCAAATGAACACCAACATTCTTCAACTCACCAATTGAACATAACAGAACACACACTACACATCAAAAGTGATAGGAAACGAAACATAATAGAACACACACTAAACATAGCAACTACTCATGTCGGTCCCTTCCCTTTGTTATCCACTTTCGCACTTCTGTTGGTCTAGCGTATTGTCACGTTCAATGAAATCTCAATATTTTTTCTTCGGCTATCGAAAAAAGATTGGAACAATTGAGAGAATTGTTGAACTTCTTCAATTGCCGCATGATTATTTGAGTTCACAGTAATGCTACTCGATGCATCACTTGATTCTCCATCGTCGACCAATTCCCAATATTTACAGTTAGCACTGCAGCAATTGAACAATTTTTCCTTGTTCTTTGTCTCCCTCTAGACCTCAAAATACTTCACAAAGCCAATTTTACATCGACGGTATCGTCGTTTTTTCGCGCAATCCGCAAAGTAGTGACCCTTCTCTCGACATCTATGATATATTCCAGAGTTCTTTCCTGGCATATTGCACATTTGCGAATATAAAAGATTAAGCTGCAGTAGATGAGGAAAATGAAGACACCCACAAAGCAGTGTATAATCCTCATAACATCGAGCAATTCGAAAGCAGTAAAATCGAGGAAAATGAATGCCAAATACATCAAGCTTACTTAATGTTTGCCACGAGATTCTGCCGGAGACGATGGGTGGGAAATCCAAGAAAATTGGAGGAGTAGAGGATCAAAAATGGGCGTCAAAGATGGTGGGAAACCCAAGCTCACATAATCGATGGAGCTCCTGTCTTCCGGCCACAAACAACAAACAAGACAAATGCAATGCAAGAAGAACCTTTGGTGGGAAACCCACAGATGGAAACGATTGAACAATTTTAACCACCGGCTTCTTATTCCGGTTGAGATGGAGTGCTGGACGTCGAATAATTTTTCGCCTCCAAGGATTTCCTCTGATTTCGGGATTCTGGGTGGGAGAAAATGAAAATAACAATGGAAATTATCTTACTAATTGGGCTGGTTTTATGTCTTGGCCCACCTTCATTTTTAATACTTTAGTTTTCCTTTATTTCACTGATTACCCATACAATTGACACGTCACCGTGTCAACTACCATGTAAAGCAACAGTTACGAGTAGCACGATTGTAGATTACATTAGCAATTAAAACTACGTTATAATTAGTTATTTGATTGACTTAACTCAATCATCTCAATTTTTGACACTTTTATAGAAAGCAAAATAAAGTGAGGGGACTAAGCCCTAGTAATTTAGGGGTAGCACGAGCCCTATTTTTTCCCCCCAAAAAAACACATTTTGTAATGATGTTATGATGGATAATATATCGTTAAAAAATAAGGAATTTTTTTCAATTTGCGTGTAATATTATTTTATTGAAAAATGTGAAGTTGATATGGAGTCAAATCATTGGTCAATGATATATTTTGATGGAAAAATGGGGCACAAACAAGTGCTTAATAAGTATACTTTTTAAAATAATAATAAATACTAATGTGGACTTTAAAAATGAACATTATATTATATTTTATTTTTTTGCTTGGGGAATTTTGACATGGAATTTGCTCATTACCCTGCCATACATGTAAATGTATTTTGAACCCCTCAAATTAAAGTATTTGTTGACGTATTTTGAAGATATGATTGTCTAAACTATTTGAATTAATCTACTTTGCTAGAAGAAATTGTCCAGAAGCAATGCTAGATGAGTTGAAGGGAAATGATTGAATAAAAAAGTGACTTTGTTTTTGAATCGTCTAATGATAGAGTGCCATGTTGTATTATATAAATTATTATGTAAACCTTGATATACATGTAACAAGTTTGAAGCTATTTCATATCGTTAAATCAACCCTTTTTGATTTAGCTAAAAATCAATTTTTTAGTAATTTTTAATAAAATTTGAAGAAATGTTTATAAAAATTGTTGGTTTCATAAAATGTACGATTAAAACTAATTGTTATCAATTTTTAGCCGAACCAAGAAATGACTTAATTAGAAACGTTAAAAAATATATATGTATTACCTTATCGTTGAAAAAGCCACGAAAAGCAAGAAAGCTCTTAAGGGTTTTTTTAAGCATAATCAATGTTATCTAACCTGTGAAAGAAAAATGATCAAAGAAAATATGTCACTTCAAAACGGGAAATAAGAGAAGTTAATGTAAATTTTTATCAGGGAAAGGGTGGCTCCACAATTATCCGAAACCCCAAGTATATGTAATCTGACCAATCTTCTATAAGATTGTTCTGAAGAAGCAACCAGATTCTGTCTCAAGTGAGCTCCACCAGAATTACTTTATTAGTTTTTGAGCTTTAGCAACTGACATAAAATTAGATCCCCCTTATCAATCATGTTCATGAGTATGACTGGAGAATTAATCTAAATACTTGGTCTTCAGATACCACTTGTTCTTCTATCATACATCAATAAACCCTTATTTAACCTCATAATTTACATGAAGGAATGACACGTTTCATTTTGTACAAGACTGAGAGTTTACCGATTACATAAGGTTCAAGTGCCAGTTGATTTCCAGGTGACTGCAATCAATCAAATCTTTGACTCGATTTAGTGCTGCGTGTCTGTGTTGCAATAATAACATCGGGCCATTGTCTGCTGCTTCCTTCTCCACCTTGCTAACTTTTCTTTTGCGTGGCAATTTTCTCGATACACTTTTCCATTTTGATTCAAACTCATAAGCTACAGCCACACAATGAGCAGGGAAATGAATCACTTGCACGCACTCAGAAATGTAAAGAAGTAATGTTATAGATAAACTAAAACTGGCATGTAAACTGAAGTAGCTGTAGAGATCAAGAATGGAAGATCAAATATGAAAGAAATACAAAGATGTGAACATAAAGGTCTTGTGATAAGAGAAACCCAATTTCAATTTACTTCTCCAAATAAGGCAGGCAATATTCTTTAAAATGAAATCAGTACAAGTCAGACAAGAGCTAAGGAGGAGTAGATAGAATAATCATCCAAATAAGTCAGTGTGAATTATCACTGCTTCAACATCATATGAATATCTCAATTTGAGAGCGATAAGAAGGGGCAGGCAGAAAAGACAGCTCATGGAGCCCAACATAGCACTAGCTACTTGTTTTTATCAAAATAATCTTAACATCTGGCAGAAAGACATTACCTTTGAAAGAAAAAATCCACAATAATAGTTCATATGATTGCTGAGTTGATATAAGCTTATAGTTGATATAAGCACTAAGCCAGTCAAGGACAAAGACTGTTTTTGATACTGATGTTAGCAATAGCGAAGTGAGAATGCAGAAATATAATGTAAGATGTCCTAAGATAGTCTGTACTACAACTAGGAATTCGACTTTTAAAGGAATATACAGATTTTCAAATAACCAAGACTTCGAAATTCCTATTGCTTTTCGAAAACGATAAGTATATATTCATAACCAAAATATAACACTCCATAATGTTTAAGTGGCTTTGAGTGAGATAATTACCTTTGCTTTTATTCCTGAATCCTTGAACAAGGCATGCACAAATCCACGGCCTTCCAGCACGGGATGCTTTTGCCCCACCTTTCAATTCACCATTATGTTGTTTCAGGCTACCAAAGAAATAACAAACTTTAGTATACTCAAAAGAGGAGGGGGGGAACAAGCATCATCAACTAGAAAAGAAAACAACATGAGAATAACATACAACCATAAAACACCAATAAAGTATTTCCACAAACAAACACAATTGCAGATTTCAAATACCAAGAAGACAACTAGCTGGCAAATCGGGGAGGTAAGAATAATTATGAAAGTCGATTTCAATACATTAAGCTTCCTGCTAATGTAAAACTCTTAATTGACTCAAGACGCTATTTTGGCCGTGGTCAAACCCATGATGTGATTCAGAGTTCTGGAAATTGCATTTCAGTGCAGCTCAATGCATTTTCAGAATAACTATTTTCTTTAACTCAGTCTTTTTAGTTTCTTGCTAACCATTAGCCGAATAACAGGTTCAAGATAGTTCCAAAACTCAATCTTTTCAGTTTCTACTTGAGTATAAGTACTATCTATTAGCCGAATAAAAGGTTCAAGATAGTTCCAAAACACGATTAAACAACCCTCAATTTTCATCTGGACCATACCAACCAGAGAATGAGATTACTTCACTAATCAAGGAAGAATCAATACCTAAGCAACATGTGAAAGAGTTATTTTCCCAGTCAAATTTGAGTTTTTATTCCACCAATTTCAATTCTTAGGACCAAATTACGTGTACCTCCAATCCTTTTCAACAAATATTTAAAATTGGTGTAAAAACAGCCACACACGTACACCACAAACACAAGGCACACACAACTGAGAAAGGGGAAATGAATTTACCGTCTCGAGAAATTATAGGTGACTCCGACATAGGTTTTGACGGGCGGGTTGGTAGAGAGAATCAGATATACAGTCCAACTCCTCCTCGATCTTGAATTCGATGATGATGAAGGTTTGTCCGACAATGATGCCAATATCTGAGATGGGCTTTGCGATGATTTTTGTGGGTTTGAAGAATTAATTGCAATTGGTTTGAATCTTGAATGGGATTTCAATGATCTGAATGTTTTTGACAAAGGTGTTGCCCTCGACATAATCTGTGGGGATATGAAATCTGACCGTTGAAAAATTAGAGAATTTGGTACCATTCCCCAAATGCATTGCCAAAACAAACAGCAAGAGTGATAGTACGATGGAAAATAGGGGTTTTTATCCTTTTATTTTATTTTTTGCATTTTCACGTAGATTTCTATTTTTCACCGTGAAAATCATCATTATCATCCATTTTCATCCAATTTGTCAATAAAAAGTTGTGCAATAACGAATACACCTGCTTATTTAAATAAATAAATAAATAAATAATAACAACGAACTAATAGTAATCATACTCTCAATTTTTAAAAAAAGTGCGAATGAGTTCCAAATAAATTATTAAAAACTTAGAAATTTAAAAAATAAAATTGGGAAGCTTTCTATTCGAGGGAACAACTCTCTTCAGAGTGTTTCCCATGTCGAGTTGTCTGCAATTGCATGTGGTTGCCCGTCGTCTAGGGTTCTTCCATTGTGGAATGTTCCATCTATTGGTGATGAAGATATATTTGAAATTGCAACGGAGTGCCAATCATTAGAGAAGCTAGATCTTTGCATGTCCTTCAATTTCAAATAAATGTGTACTTGCAATTGTAGAAAATTGTCTGATTTAACTTCCTTGACAATTGAATCTTGTTCGAATGTCGAAATTGAAAGTATGCAAGCCGTTGGAAAATATTTCACTAAACTTCGGTCAGTTACTATCAAAGACTGCCCATTCTGTTGGGGATCTAGGTGTTGTGAGTCTCGTCTTTAGCTTCTACAGTATTGACAAAGGTGAAGCTTCAAACTCTAAACATCTCAAATTTCTCGACTGCTGTAATAGGTCACTACGGGAAGGCAATTACCAATCTTATCCTCAATGAGCTTCAAAATGTGGGTCAGAAGGGCCTTTGGGTGATAGACGGATAGGTAATGGGGGGAGCTTTGTGGGGGAGTGGCAAAGGGGGTTATTTACTTCTTATTTCAGGACACTGGTTGATTGTTGACCTTTCTTATTATTTTTAAAAAGGATTATTATTTTTAAAAATAATTTGGCGACGGTGGTGGAGGAGGAGGAGGATGATAATGATGGGGATGGGGATAATGATGATGATGGGAAAGAAAGAGATTTTTTTTTTTAACTCTAATTTATTTGGGATTCGTTTGCATTTTTTTAAATTGAAAGTATGGTTGCAATTAATCTTTGTTTTTCTTTCTTTTCTTTTTAGTTTATTTAAATATGAGGGTATGTTCGTCGCTGAAATAGGGTGAAAATGCAAAATAATGATATGTCGGGATATTTTGCACATTGAACTCCAAATGTAGAGACATTTTGTGCTAATAACCCAAGCAAATATATTCTTTTTTTTTTTTTTAAATTACTGTACTATGATCAATTTTTCTTCTTCCTTCCCTTCTTATATTATCATTATAGGTTTGTTTGAACTTCATTTTTTTGCTGTAATAGATTTTGTAATAATGAATTTTTGGAGAATACGTGATAAAAAATTAGGAAAATATTTTGGATTAACGTGTAAAATGATTTTATTCGGAGAATGTGTAGTTGAAAATGAGTTTGAAAAGAAATGAATTTTTAAAAAATGAAGATCAAACAGAAATTTAGCCCATGTTTGATCTCCATTTTTGGGGTAAAATGCATTATAAAATAGTGATTTTTTGAAAAATATGTAGTTGAAAATATGAATTGAAAAAATGGAGCTCAAACATGGGTTTAATTTGAGGAAATTATCTCTGAAGGCCAAGCAATAATGGCACGTGTGGGTTCAGAGGTCACCGAAATTCCAACATTGTTTCTCAACTTGTCAATTTTTATTTTTTTTCCCTCGAATAGTTTCAACATACGGTACCTATCACCATTAAAAAAAGTTCTACATTTCATTAATTGTTATAACTTCGAAAGTTTATAGTACTACGATTGTCGTACCATCATGTCAATATCGTCTCGTTTTATTGTTCCCCTTGTTTGTCCATATGCACATTGTGAAAAACTATTAACGTTTACAAGTTCTCTTCGCGTTATTGTGACTTGACACACTGATAACATCTTATTTTCTCAGAAGTTCATTATTCAGTGCTCACTTGTTTAGGAATGTTTCTAAGGTATAACAACGATATCTATCTTTTCTATGAATTAAAGCCTTGAAGGTGGTTTCTTTTTCTTCATAGCCATCTTTCTTTGTCCTCACAAACTATAACAATCGGTTGAGTTCTACTTTTCCATCCTTCTTTAACGTATATCATCAAGTGCTAGCTTGCAAGACGAACACACGTCAATTGATTATTACAAAGGCTTTTCGACGTACTTACTCCGGAAAGACATGAAGATATAGAGGCAAACAATGTGGTATGCCAGACTCCACAAGACAAGTCATTTGTGCATTCAAAGTGTAGGCTAATTAAATTGTGCAATTTGCCGGTGTTTATAGTTTTCCAATTGTGAGATTAACATCAAAGAGTTGAAGTATAGGTAATTGACTTTGGCAATAAATAATTACAAACAAGTAAATTTTAACTGGAAAGGATTAACGCATTACTGACATAATGCAAAAAAACAGGTAGCAAAAATTACACACTCTCTCAATAAAATAATTTTACACAGTCCAAAAAAATTTCTTACATTTTAATTGCACGTTTTTCAAAGATTCACTCTGACAAAACATACTCCCCAAAAAAGGGTGGCCAAACAAAACCTTCAGTTCTCTTTCAAATTTTCGTGTTATTTTTCAACTTTCAATTTGACCGTGTTGTATCATGCATCAAAAAAATTTGATTGGAAAAACGTTTGTACACATTTTTAGGCTCCAAAAATGATATATGGAAATAGAACTCTGAATCTAACAATTGTTCTGGATCAATAAATTGAAGACCAAAAAAATAATAATAATAATAAATAAATAAAATCTGATTTTTAATCACCACCAAACAAGGGCTTAGTATTGCACAGTCGATCTCACGAGTCGAAGCATTCAACACATGAATAGGAAAGTAGTCATATAAAGTACCCAACAGTTCGAGTGAGTTTCTCAATGCATGGGGATGGCAAAATATTCCAACCCCCAATCTCCCACGTTGGAGGATTGGCAATACATGACAGATGATTATCTTTATAAAAAAAATTACCTTTTAACTAATTCACTTTAATTTTGAGAGAATCGTATTGATAACGTTTTATGAAAAGAAAAGAGAGAATAAAACTCAATAAACTTGTATTTTAATAAGAATTAAAGTTCTATATTTATAAGGAAGAATCATTGATACAGTGATAATAATTTTTAGAATTACAGATGTACAATTATCATTCATTAATAAACTCAAAATTTACAACAAATATTCCATTGCTTGATGTTTCTAAAAGAATTGATGAGAAGATTGTCTATCAATTGCATCGAGACGTTTTGTTGTCAGGCATGTTGCCAAAGTGTGTGACCTTTAAAGTCACGTGATAACATTTCTAATTAAAAAATATTTCAAACTAATAGCTACATTGATAAACCCATGGGTGAAATTAACCCAAAAAAAAAAAAAGGAAAAAAATGAAAAGAAAAAGAAAAAGATAGCATTTGTTCATTGCATGACTACTTGACTAGTTAATTTAAGATTTGAAAAATGAATTTTCTCGAAAATTTTAAAAATATATATATATTGAAGGAATGCATTATCAGATATTATTGGTCTGTAGTAAAAGAGAACAAATTTAAGGGTCAATGGCATATAATTAATGTGATAAATTTACAAATCAAGTTATTTTTGTTTTTTGAATTGAGCAAATCTTTAAATGATTATAACAGATTAACTTAATATGGGCATTTTTGTTAGTGATTATGAAAATTGATTTTTTGATTGTTAGAGAAAAAATTGGATCCTATCTGTGAGTGAAGAAGTCAAAGATAATAATTGAAATAGTGAAATAACGGTTAAAAATTTAATTTTTTTAGGTAAAAAATTGCTACTAAACGGGGCTATATAAAATTATTCAAAAACTTACCAAGTAATTATAAAACACACATACAAATGTAGATAATAAACCTCTGTTTGAAAAATATTAAAGAGTTTTTTTTTTTTTTTTTTTGTTGGAGAATGCGTCGTTAAAAAGTGTGAATTTTTTTTGAATTTACATATAAAATATTTTATTATGTGAATGTGTGATTAAAAATAAGTTTGAGGGAGAAAATTTTTTAAGAAAGGTTTGACAAATAGGGGCTCAATATACGTGTAGACTAATGATTGTGTAATTCCAATTTTTCAACCAACTATTGGGATATAAGACCATGCTAAACTAACAAGGAGACTGACAGCCTCCTTGACAGAGACCCCACAAATAAAGAGGAGGAATAAATTTTTATTCAAGCGGGACCTACGGTATGTGAGAGGCAGCTGTCCTTTCTGTCAAACATTTTCGATCACTTCCTATTCACTGCAAAAATTAATGAAATCTAAATCTGATGACTGGAATCCCAATTAAAAGAGTGAATCTCTTGAAGATTTTTGAAATTCATGACGCTATAAATATGAAGGTATGCTATCTATTCTATCCTCAAACTTTTAAGCAATGGAGAAATTTTTTGTCAGTGCAGCCTTGTGCGTGCTTTTACTCAATGCTTCTGTGAACTTCACCAATGCGGTTGAGAAAGGTAGTTCTACATATGTCTCTCCTTCTTTCATGTCTATGCTTATTTACTTCCAAAGTTATAAACAAAAACTTAGTTTCTCATGTAGACGACCTATAATGAATCTAGTTGTCTCTCACATTTTGGACACCATCTTCTTACTAATCAATTTAATTTTGTGTATGGTCGTCTTTACAGATGGAGAGGATACGAAAGATCCTAGAAGAGCTCCAGTACATACATGTGTTGAATACATATATCAGCCAGAATGTCAGCCATCGTACTGCTCGCAATATTGTCACGAAGCTCAACGCACAGCAATAAAGTCACGATGCGACTTGAAAAAAGGGTTATGTCTTTGTTATTTTCAATGTGTATATCCACCAAATTAAAGGCATGAGTTGTTTCACTTTTAAGCCATGAATAATGGATTTTATCAACGTTCCCCACCTTTTTTTGGGTATGTTTTGTCTAATATTTGTTGCTTTGCCTTTTCCCATTTTATTTTTTGTTTTTTTTTCTTGCTACATTGAAAACAAGGAAATACTCAAAAATTTGAGCATAATTTTTAAAATACTATACATGGACTAGGTATATCATGAGGTCACATTCCAACTACGGTTGCAAAATATATATTTTTTGGTTGATTATGGGGTTTATGGATTTCTCCGTTGGGGCTTTATCACTTCATGTAAATGCATTATTCGTGTAATGAAAATGCTATGTGTACACCAAGTGGTAAATGCATTATTCATTTAAAGAAAATGCTAATTGTATACACATAGCATTACACCCGCCTCACATGGAGGGGGTCCACATTCAATAAATTATTCGTGGGCCCCCTCTATGTGAGAGGGGTATAATACATTGTGTACACGATGAGGTGTACACATAGCATTTTCCATTCGTTTAATTTAATAGTTTAACAGTCTAATTTGCAATGGCTGAGAAGAGTAATAACAAAATAAGCCAGCAAATCACTTGCTTAATTAGTCTTGAATCTTAGCCCTTGTTTGGTGAGGATTAGAATCATATTTTTGGTAAATTTAGAAAAAAAGTTGATGAAACGTATTTTTGAAAAGTTAAAATTAATTATTGACTTTAACTTAAATAAAAATTATGATTAGTTCATGTAAAATTGAGTTCGTGTGGGGTTTTGATACCAATAAATCACGGGCAATTATGTTACTCGTTAAAATTGCTCAGCTGACATTGATCACTGAATTATATCGACACCTAAAATTGACGACCTGAATCAAAAATTATTTGGATCATTTGAAGTAGCTTAATTTAATTAGAATTGCTCACGATTCGTTCCCTCACTTCTTGGAAGGCTTATAAGTGTTGGCCCATTTATTGGATTGGATTTGGCCCACTTTTATACCTATTGTTACCTATATATTGTTGTCTTCCTTGGTCTTGAATTGAAGAGTGTTTTTTTCCTTGTTTTGTGAAGAAATTGGCTGCCTTCTTTGTAATTGTGTCCACCGTTTTCTCTTCTTCTCCCTTGCTTTTGTGGTCGAAAAGAACCTTTCCTTTTGTATCAGAGCCATGTTGGTAGTGGATTTTTCGCCAAAATATAGACCCATAAATCGGAAAATTCGAGCAGAAATAGGAACAAAGAAAACTGTCCAATTTTGTGCAAATATTGGACCTGCAACCTTGATTTAATTCAATAGCCTTTTGATGAATACAGAGACCGGATCCTTGATTTGCATTTGGAGGCGGTGCTTAGTTGTCAGCGGTGGCGCGTGGTATTTCTAGCAACAGTGCGTAGAGGTGCATCTGACATTGTCTGGGGAAGTTTTCTTCAGGCTGTTTGATCTGTATTGTTTTTCTAACATTTTGGTATCGTTAGTTTTCTGTTTTAGGTTATACCATGAAATTTGGACGATTTCATCCCTTGCACATTTGGGATTCAATTTTGCTTGATTAGTTATCGCGGTTGACAAAAAGCCACTTGAGCATTATGTACATGTAAATCATGATACACACGTGGAATAATTATTCACGAAAAATTCACCAATCAAAATTTTGTTTTTGCCAAATCATGGCCATCAAAAAGAGGCTAAAGTAGAAAATTTGTTTATTTTAAATTCAAAATTATTTAAAATACTATTCAGTTTCATTCTGATTATTTTTCTAGTTCTAACTTTGTCTTCTTAGTAGACATTCTTCCTTGCTTGGGCTCCTTATTTTCAAAATACATATTTTCTAAAAGTCATTTTCAATCACACATTTTTTCATAAAATAATATTGTACGTAAATTCAAAACTTTTTTAGATATTTTAACCACTCATTTTCTAAGCTCATTATTTCAAAATACATTTTCTCCCAAAATCACATTAAATAGAGCCCAAAATGCAACTTTTGTGAGTGGATTGAATTTCATCTAGCACAAAAAATAATGTCTTCACAATTTTTACAATACACTTTGTGCTTTCAGAAAATTTACAGTTGTATTTTTAGAAATATTTTAGTGCATGGAAGGCCTAATGTCACAATTATTTATCAGATAAGTGTGTCAAATTTATGAGTAGGAGGAACGCTTCTGATCAGTGTTTATTTTGAATGTACAAATAATCGTCACATTTAATTTAAGTCAATTCTAAATTTAATATCTTATGGATTTCAAATGGTTATAACAAGCTCTCCATGATTTTAATGAACTTCATATTGATTATTGAATTGGTTTAAATTTTGGGTTACAATTATTTGTCAAATTCATAAGTATGAGGAACGATTCCCGTAAACTGATATGGTAAATTTTGTGAGTTAAATTGATTTTAACAAATATATGAATCATCAAACTAGGTATGAATTCACTAAGTTAACCAATGCAACACGAAATTTCCTCAACCCCTTCCAAATTGCTCTCTAACAAAATAAGAATTTATTTAATTAACAAAGCCAAAACTAATAGAAATTTTGTTCAAAACATATTATTTTCAATAATCTCCCCCCTTTGACTTCTTAGTATGTTTGATACGAATTAAAATCTGATTTTAATTTAAGTCAAAGTCTAACAATCATTATTAACCACATCTTTAACGGGTTCCAAAACTTTTCAACAACACATTTCAAAAACTTCTATTACAATCTACTAAAAAATCTAATTTTAATCCCTATCAAACACTATGTCAAAATCAATTCCAGAACTTTAAAGTGAAGAAGTGATTTTATCAAAATTTCATTTTCTCTCCTTCTCTTCTCCCTCTTTTGTAATAGAGCTAACAGTATAACCACTTAAGTACCTCCATTTTATTGTACGACTTCTAAGAATGAGACATATTTCAACTAAAAAAGGGCGAGTCACAGGGTCCAAAGTGCAAAATGCATTACAAACCTCACGAGTCATGAACTAAGAAAGCACGAAAAGAAAAAAAAAAATTCAAGCATCACATGCCCTATTTTGCTCTTCAACAAGTGTAAACTTACCTAACCTAAACTTAGATAAGGATAGGGAAGAATTCTAAATCAATTCCGTTAAGGCCTTTTCGGTAGTGATTATGAGAATCAATTTTTGATCGTTAAAGAGAAAAGTGGGTCCCATCCGTGAGTGAAAAAATAAAAAATGAGAGTTGACTTAAGGAAGTAGCGATCAAAAAAATTAATTTTTTGGGATGAAAAATTAGAACCGAACGGGAGCTATGTTTGTACTAGTTTTGTACCATACATTTCTCATTCTAACCGGACAGAGAACCATCTTTAATTGACTATTATCTTCAATGCATCTATCTATTGCAGTGAATCCAAAATGGTCTCTAAAGAATGAAAAAAATTATCATGTCAGCAATTTTTGGCCCCCATTTGTTTCCCATTCTTCCCTCATTAAAATGAAAAATATGACCGTTATCCATCACATCAAGCCATCAAATTTGAATTTCTATCTCTTATGTGGAGCCAGTATCGACTATATTTTTCATTCTCATTTTTACAAAAATGGGAAACAAACGGAACCTTGATAAGCCAATTACACCACACTAAATCTTAATCTGTTCAGTTCAATTCTCCAGATACAATCAAGCACAATAAGCACACAACACAAGTTAAGATAAAATAATTAAGATCAGATTGAGCCAATATGCAATAGATTCAAGAATCAATTTTCATTTTATCTTGTTAGTTTTCACATTGCTTTATATTTTGACCCACACTCATAACAATATTACCAAGCACGATTGCCGAATTGCGGTATTATTGATTAAAATTAGGATAATTTATTTTTAGCATAGGTCAAGAATTGACAAGAACATGTAATTGATAATAAGTTCATGTACTGTAATTCGTAAATCCTAGTACTTTTATCGTGATTGTGTTTTACTCTACAAATGTTCACGTGGTATCAATTTATAGATAATTTGGCGATTTAGATAGTCAATCTTTAAAACCGTCAAAATTAAGTTCTGCGGGTTCGTGTTAAAGTTGATTGGAATTAAACTATGGATCATAATCGATCTTCGCGGGATGATATAATTTCATTATTTTATTCATTTGTTGAAAAAACATTATAAGTTGCCATAAATTGTGTGAGTGGCTATATACGAATTGTCCATAAATATGCAAGCTACTTAAAGTCACTTGCCATAAAATTATGGCGACTTTTTATTTTATTTTTCTAAATGTACATTATGGTGTCATAATGTACATAGAATTTTATGGTGACCTTTTGTTCGGATAATTCTAAATGTACATTATGGAGTCCATAATGTGCATGTGAAATCCCATAATTGAAGGGTTAAAAAAAATTATTTTCAACTTTTCAATAATGATATGTCACTTAAACATCATGAACATAAATCGACGCCATAATGTACATGTAAAATAATACGTTTTTCCCTTTTTATTTTTGTGAATATCTCTTAATTAAGAAACTGGTAGACAAGCGGAAACGTCACTTCTAGCCCCCTCACACAAATCCTCGATCTCCCCACTCCACCTCCACCGCCCACCGGCTCACAGCAGAAACCAATCACCGCAGAGACGGCGGAGGAGCTATGTTCAGGGACGTGTCGGCATGCAATACATACAACTACGGCGACGCCCTCTACTGGGACGCCCGTTACATCCAAGATGCCAACTCTGGTTCCTTTGATTGGTACCAACGCTATTCTGCGCTCCGCCCTTTTGTTCGTAAATACATCTCTCTTACGTCCCGTGTTCTCATGGTGGGCTGCGGCAATGCCGGTAACTTTTCAGTTTTACCCCAACTCTCTGCCTCCTTTACAATTTCAAATGTGCGGAAAAACTTAAGTACTACGTACGTATTGAATTTTGCATTATTACGAAAAAAATCTTCCTACCAGCTTTTTACAATTGAAAATGGCCTATGTTTGCAGCTCTTTCCTTTCCTTTTCTGTTTGACATGATGAATTAATTTTGTGATAAGGGAAAGAGATTTTGAGGAAATGTTCAATTGAATAATTGGGGCAACTTCGCTGGATTTTCTGGTGACCCAAAGAATTTCTTATTCAGAATTCAGTGAATTCTTGCCTCTTTTAAATAAAGAACTTTTGTGTCTGTTCTAGAATTTGTGTCTAATCTAGAGATTGCTTATGTTATCTCATACTTTTGCTATTCATTACTTACCATTATTGGTATTATAACAGCTTCTTTATCTTCACTCTTGGTGTAGATCCTGCCATTTGTCATGAATCATATTTTCTATATGTATAGGCATGACTTTCATTTTGGTTTTTAAGACATCGCTGATGCGATAGATGATTTGCTCTACAGTTATATCAGAGGACATGGTTAAGGATGGTTTTGAAGATATTATGAATATAGATATATCATCAGTGGCTATTGACATGATGAGAAAGAAAATGATTTTTGTTTCTTTGACACACGTCGGTGTTAGAAAAGCTCCATTTAAATTATTGAATCCCTTGTCCAAAGCATATTTGCATATGTTCATTGAGAGTTCAAGCAGGTCTTCTTTTTTATATTCTTTTACATTCCAAATATCCCAGTCAATTATTTTATTGAAACCTTTCCTTATGTAATTCAAAAAAGACATGCAAATGGATGTTAAAGATATGAGTTTCTTTCCTGATGAATCATTTGATAGTGTCATAGACAAAGGTAAGTAGTTGCCCTAATTAGATTCTTTGCAGTTCGTAATTTTGTATAGTGTAATATAAAGAGGCAATAAATATTTTGCCTTCAATGTTTTGCATGGACCTGCTACTTTGAATAATAGGGACTCTTGATTCATTGATGGTGAGTTATAAATTACTTGGCCTCCTTATTAGATTTCCTTCTTTGATGTGTTCTAATTCCTTTCCTTCTTTGTTGGTTTTTTTCTTATATGCTCATGGATTTAAAGTGTGGCACTAGTGCTCCCATTAATGCTGCTCAAATGTTGGGGGAAGTGAGCAGGTTCAGGCACAGTAATTTTATAGTAAATAATTTTAATTTGTTAAGGAATTGTGTTGTGCTGTGTTGTATTTTCTGTTATTGTTTAGAATATACTTTTTTGCATTTATGTACTGTTTTCAAATGACATAGTATGATAAATTTTCACTTGTAGGCTTCTTAAACCTGGAGGAGTTTATATGCTGGTAAGTTTATGCACAAAAATGTTCTCTTGCACATCTTTACCATTCTTGTAAGCCGAAAAAAATTTTCTTGTCTTCTTGGCTGTTTGTAGATAACATATGGTGATCCTACTGTGCGGATGCCACATATAAATCGACCAGTTTACAATTGGAAAGTTGAATTATATGTTATACGTAAGTGCTTTTTATTTGTCGTGGAAGTTCCTTCTGTTGCGTTTTAGAATTAAAGATATTTTGGATTTTCTCCCATTATGTTGTGATAGGAGTATGTGAAAAATTAGAGGTAGGCACTGGAATATGCAGAGTCTGCGTGTTAGTCGGTTAATTATGTCCTAATCCAACTCCCTTAGTACGGTTTTCCATCTTAATGATAGTATGATGCCCTTTGAATCTAAATCATGCTTCTTAGTAACGATACCTTTTTTCAATTCTTATTGTTGTTCAGTAAATATCCCAGCAAATGTTATTATGAACTTATTCTATCTTGTGTATTGATTTCAAATAATTTTTATTTAGTTTCCACGGAGTTCATTTCAACTAATTCTTACTTGGCGCAATGCAAAAATTTTAAATAATAAGATTTAAGGTGCCAACAGTAACATTTATTTACAAATATATAGTATTGAAATTTTAAGAAATGGTGAAGAATCTTTATGAACTGATGTTATTTTTTCTGGTACAAAAACCTTGGAATAGATCGTGATACCTGAATTTTGCAATGCACCAACTAACAATGATCTTTCTCTGTCTCCAAAGGCTATCATCAATAAGGATGGTCTTCAGAACAGAAAATCAGATAATAAACTACAAGTTCCTTCCATGCTTTACTTCACCACACCGCTTACCTGGTGAACCATCATCTCCTACTTTAAAAGTGCACGGAGTCTGAAAACTTCCTATTTCCTTCACCAAGTTTTATAAAAAGGCTAATTTGCGTATTAAGGTGTCTTGCCTGCACAAGGTGAGCCTCTAGATGCTTTAAATCACGAGCCTCAACATATACCGCTAAAATAATTCAGAAAATTTGCATAAATACAAAATATACTGGTAATTAACCTGTTACCATTTAAAAAAAAAAAACCATAATTAAACATTGCAACAAAATTAGAAGTCTTTTTTGCAACTAGAAACATAAACTGATCGATAAATGAGCAAATAATGAATTATAATGTAGTAATCACATAACAAGACAATTAATCCACAACTAGAAATTAAAGTCTAAAGCAAATAAGCATCTATTGAATAATTTTTGCTTCCTTGACTTTTTTTTTTTTTTGATAAGTAATCAAATATTTTATTAATCATGGATAATACACAGGAAGTGTATTTTCAATTAATACAAGACATAAACGACATGAAATTGGGCAACCCCAATTAATACAAGACAGAAACGACATGAAATTGGGCAACCCGTCTTTGCGAGTAATAGCCACAGTATTAAACCAAATATACAGTGTCAGATAAAACGATTCTTTAATCTACTCTGTTGCCCGTATATTATTGTCGAAACAATGATTGTTTTTCTCCCTCCAAATATACCAGATGATGCATCCTGGGATAAGGTTCCAAACAATTTTGTTATCTTTATTACGAAATCTTCTCCCCCCCACGCCTTCAAAACATCCTCCATACGCTGTGGAAACACCCAATCCATGTGTTGAGAAGCCAAAAATATCGTTTCATAGGGTGCGAGCAACGTTGCAATGAATGAACAAGTGGTCAATCGTCTCCCCATTCCTTCGACATATATAGCACCATTCCGTGACATAGAAACCCCTGCATCGGAGGTTATCCACCATTAACACCTGTCCCTTCACAACCATCCATAGGAAAAATGCCACCCGAGAGGGCAGTTTACAATGCTATACCTTCTTCCATGGGAATAAACTTTCCTTAAGTTCCAATAAAGATAAAAAATAAGAGCTTACTGACAAAATGCCATCGCGTGCCAACCTCCACCTGCTACGATCACTTTCGCCCACCCTGACGTGCACCTCATATAAAGAAGTCAGGAGTAGTGCATAATTATCCAATTTCCAATCCTATAGACATTTCCCAAAAACAATGTTCCAGCAGGGATTCCCATTATGCGCATGTAAGACTTCATGCACCAGACTACCATAGCTTGCAGCATCAAAGTAATATGATACAGGAAAGGATACTCCGCTCTTAATGGCCGATCTGTACACCAACAATCATCCCAGAATCTGATAGTATCGCCATTCCCCATCTCATACGTCAATCTATCTTGAAATTCTCTCCACCCTCGTCGTATATACCTCCACAAACTCACCCCAAAAGAACTACAATCCTCGGCCGAGCACCATCCTCCTCTACAACACCATATTTCGCCTCTATAATCTCTCTCCAAAAGCTTTCCCTCTCCACACCGAATCGCCACAACCACTTACCCAGCAAGGCCTTATTAAACAATACAAAACTCCTTAATCCGAGGCCATCCGTTTTTATGGGAGAACACACTACGCCCCAGTTAACCAAGTGAAGTTTCCTCTCCTCCCCTAAACCTTCCTATAGAAATTCCTTTTGAATTCTCTCTAATCTTTTTGCCACGGTAACGGGGATAGGAAATAATGACAAGAAGTAAGTGGGTAGATTCGATAGAGTGGGCTTCATTAGTGTAAGACGGCCTCCCTTTGAGAGGTACATATGCTTCCAACCAGCTAACCTCCTCTCCACCCTTTCCACAATACTATTCCAAATGTGTATGTTTTTAAATCGTGCTCCTAAGGGGAGCCCAAGATAGGACATAGGCAGTTGCGCAGTTTTACAACCCAATATGGCCGCTGACTCCTCCACATTAGCGACATCCCCAATTGTGATGGCCTCAGATTTCCTCAAATTAATTTTCAATCCAGATACAACTTCAAAGCATAGTAACAGACGGCGCAAGTTCCTAAATTGCTCAGCCTTTGCATCACAAAAGATCAACGTATCGTCTGCAAATAGCAAATGGGATACCTGTAATTGGTTAATCATAAAGCCCTTCAACTTTCTCCCACAACTTTTTCAATCATTCTACTTAAAGCATCCATAACAATGACAAACAATAATGGAGACAACGAATCCCCTTGCCTCAAACCTCTACTACTCCGGAAATAACCCTCAGGAGTGCCATTTACTAAATCGAATACGAGACCGTAGATATGCAAAAGTGAATCCAACGGCCCCACTTGTCCCCAAAGCTACATCGTCTAAGCATATACAAAAGGAATCCCCATTTTACGTGATCATAGGCTTTCTGAATATCAAATTTAAATAACATCCCTGGAATCCCTATACGTAGTCTCGAGTCAATGCATTCATTTGCTATAAGTACATAATCCAATATCTGACGCCCTTTGACAAAGGCATTCTGAAATTTAGACACCACATTTTCCAACACCTCCTTTAATCTGTTAGCCAACAACTTTGCAATAATCTTGTACACCTCGCTAAGCTGATCGAACGAAAATCTTTAATATCTGATGCTCCCGATTTTTTTGGAATCAACACAATAAATGTAGCATTAGAACTTCTCAAGAACTTGCCACACCGAAAGAAATAAGTAAAAATATCCACAATGTCCTATCGTACCACTTCCCAACAAGCCTTATAAAATGAGAATGAGAATTCGTTCGGCCCTGGTGCTTTATCATCATTCATGCTGAACACCACCTCCCTAATCTCCTCCTCCCCAAATGGTCTCTTTAACCAGCTTGCATCCTCTTCAGTAATATTAGAGAAATCTAACCCCTCGAACTCTGGCCTCCAATCAAACTGCTCACGATACTAGTTTTGATAGAAATTCACCATTTGGGTCCCAATATCTTGTGAATCTTCATAAGTAACTCCGTCTACTACCAGCATGGTGATAGAATTGTTACGCTTGTTAGAATTGGCAACTTTATGGAAAAATTGGGTACATTTATCACCCTCATTTAACCACTTGACCCTAGATTTCTGACGCCATGCTATTTCATCCGTCTCCACCAACCTCTCTAACTCTTCCCTTAATTCTCCACGTCCCTCCCTTTCATCCCCTACCAATCCTTGACTCTCCTTCCTCTTATCCAGCTCTTCTATATCTAACATACATTGGTTTTTAGGCCAGTTTACATCTCCTGCCACCTCCTCATTCTACCTCTTTATATCCCTCCTTAAAGCTTTCAATTTTTGATTGAACACATAATTGGGAGACCCCGTGAAATTGTAAGATGCCCACCAGTCCCGTACACGCTCCCTAAAGCCTTATACTTTTGGCCACATTTTCTCAAACCTAAAAGGTCTTTTTACACTACACCTCGCATTCCCAGCCAGTAAGATAGGGAAGTGATCAGAATACACCCTCCCTAATCTTCTCTGTGTACTTCTCGTCCCATTCCCCACTAATTAGAAACCGATCTATTCGCGATAAAATAGGCTGCTCCCGATTAGAAGACCAAGTAAATCTCCTCCAATCAAAGGCAAGTCCATCAACATATTTTTCCTGATAAAATCTGAGAACTCCATTACCTTTGTTAATCTCCCGCTACTTGATCTCTTAATAGGAAATCGAATCACATTAAAGTCACCCCCAATACAAGTTGGAATGTTCCACCAAGCCATCATTCCCGCCAATTCATCCCACAATCCACCTCTACTCTCATCATCATTGGGCCCATAAACTCATGTAAACGTCCAATGAAATCCATCCCCAACATTTCTGAACGAAAGCGAGAAAGAAAATGGTCCTTCACTAACCTTCTCCATATCAAGAGTTCTCGTGTTTCACATGACTAATACACCTCCTGAGGCCCCTGATGATCCCTTATATTGATACCTAACATGCTGTCCCCCCCCCCCCCCCCCCAATAAACTGCTCACAATAGCCTTCAAGACGAACTCCAACTTAGTTTCTTGTAAACAGACTAAGTCCGCCCTCCATCCCCTTAGCAGATTTTGAACCCCTAATCTTTTTTCTGCTACATTAAGCCCCCTTACGTTCCAGCTAATTATTTTTGGCATCATCTCAACGCTTTGTCATTCCTCTCAAGCAATTCTTCTTTGACTCGGCACCCTTGCCACGATAATTTACTGACCATTCAAGCCGTTTAAGTTCACGGTCACCTTTTCTTCTTGTTTTACCGCCTGGTATACTCATCCCCTATCCCCTACTGGCCTCCAACTCCGCGAAT